TGTTCCGGGGTGAAGATCCATTTGGAGCGCTCCCGACGGTGGGCGAGGGGAGCCCAGCCGCGAGACAGAGGCTCCCCAACAAGAGATCTCATGCGGAAAATTGCAATTTTGGGAGCTGGGGTACACCACCCCCTCCCTAGCCCCGAGAGGCGGCCCATGAGGCTCCTGAGAGCGCCCAGACGGAAAATCACCCCCTGCAGGCTTTCATTTTCACCCCGGAACGGTTCCAGGGTGATTCTGGACTATGAAACGGGTGGATGCGCTAAGAAAATCCAGGGACCACGGGAGCGTCGCGCGGGCGGACCGGGCGAACCCCCGCGGGCGGGGCGCGAGGGAGTCTCAAGGGGGGAGGGCTTCGAGGAAATTGCGGGGGAGAGGCCCACGCGAGAGAACGCGATTCCTGGGTTAAAAGTCTTGGACGGGAGCGGGCCTAGGAGGAGGAGGAGGAGGAGGAGGAGGAGGAGGCCTGCGTGAATTGCAAGGAATCCTCAGGCGGCAGCCGCTGTTGTAGTTCGGAGGCCAGGGGCCCACGTTTGGAGCGAAGCCCGCGCTCGAGCGCAGCCTCGCTTTCGTAGAGTGTGCCCCACGCTCGACCAAGAGAGCGCTCCATCCATCTTCCGTAGACCAACCGCAATTGTTCCTTAGAAGTGCTGCAGCAGCAGCAGCAACAACAACAAGAGTGTGGCGGGCGCCGAGGGGACAGGGCCCTTCGGAGCGATCGCTGGAGCTCCGAATATCTAGGGTGGTGGGAAGCCGTGAGAAGTCAGTGCGCGGAGTTGGCGTTGGCGGGCGAACGGCCGCAAGTCGTCGGGGTAGACGGGGGAGTAGAAGTCGTCATGAGCCATCGTGCAGGGAGGCTACGAGGCCCTCCCCTGCCCCTGCCGGGCCGCCCCTCCCTCCCCTGCCCCTGCCGGGCCGCCCCTCCCCTACGTCGTCACGAGCCTATCCCCCTCCCTCCCCTGCCCCTGCCGGGCCGCCCCTGCCGCTACGCTTTTTGCGCGCCTGTCCCCTCCTCCTTCCTCCTCCTCCTGCTGCTGCCTTCCTCTCCCCTTTCTCCCGGTTGTATGTACTCGTGCGCAGGCCGGGCTCCAGAGGGAGGCCGGCCATTGTGTACAGGTGCAGGACTTCGGGGACCATTGCTCAGGGCAGCCCCCTGAGAGCTGGCGGGGGCGCCCCACCCGCGGCCAGCGGAGGAAGAAGATGAAGAGGAGGAGGAGGAGGAGTGCGAAGGGAAAGCGGAGGGAGGAGGAGGCAGGAAGGATAGGATATACGGCAGGCAGGTAGGTTGCCCCAGGGTGGATGGGCGGGAGAGCTGGCAAAGGTACAGCCAGCCAGGGCACCATCGAGATGCTCAACGTGCGCTTCAACAGCTCAAGGCTTCTACAATTTCGTCTATCCTTCCCCTCCCCCTCCTGTCCAATCCTTCTCCCCAAGGCATGCCCAGCAGCGGCAGTAAGTCGACCCGCTGTTGTGGCCGCGTCTTGTCTGCACACTGCGGCATATGGCAACCCCGCCGTGGTTCGCGAACTTGCCCCTACTCTTCAGCCGCCAAGTGTGTGGTTGAAGGCACCACCTTCGCTTCCAAGCCTGCGATCCACCTCGCCCTCCTTCTCCTGTTCCTCCCCTCTCCCCCCCGCATATCTCTCTCCCGATTCGCCCTCGTTTCCTGGGCAGGCTCCCACCGACTTGTAGGTGTCAAGGGACTCCGATGGAACTACCCACCTCGCCCTCCTCCTCGCTCCTCGCCTGTGCCTTGTTCATCCAATTGCGCTACCGCGCGAATCCGCCACTGCGCTTGCAGCGGGCGTTGCCAGGGGGGCCTGGTCGGGGGGGTGGGGGGGGGCGTGCAGTGGAACCCGGCACCCAGAACTTTGATCCGGGGAATGGAACGCTAACGACAGGATGCAGTCAAACAGATTCAAACAGTGAACGCGTGTTGGCCTTTGCGCCTCGGGGGCATGGGGCGTCATCGCTTCGCGCGGGGCTAGGGCAGGGATGAGTATCTCTGGCTCTGGGGCTGTTCCGGAACGCTCTCAAGGCATCCCAGAACGCTGTGGGAAGGCCGCAGCGCCCGAGATGTCTTTTAGAACCGACGGACTTCAGAGATCCCCGATTTGTCCCTGTCCGATTTTGTTGTTGTCTTGGCGTCGTCTGAGGGGAAGCGTCATTGCTTCGCAAAGGGCGGGACTATGGAAAAAGGCAGGGGTCCAACACCCGCCAAGTGCTGCAGTCGCGGTGGCGGGCATTTCTTTTCCTCCTCCTCCTCCTCCTCCTCCTCCTTCTCCTCCCCCTCCTCCTCCGAAAACACTTCCTCCTCCTCCTCCTCCTCCTCATCCTCGTTCGTTCTCCTCCTCGTTCTTTCTCCTCCACGTTCTTTATTCGTCTCGTTATTTATCCTCCTCGTTCTTTCTCCTCGTGTTTTCTCCTTCTCGCGTTTCTTTTTCTCGTCCCTCCTCCTCGTCGTTTTTCCTTCTCCTCCTCGTTTTTGTTTCTCATCCTCCTTCCTCCCCATCCTCCTTCCTCATCATCCTCCTCGCCATTACACCTCGAGCTCCTTCCTCCTCAGACTTCCTCCTCCTCCTGCTTCTCCTCCTCCTCCTCCTCCTCTTGCTCCTCCCTCCTCCTCTTCCTCCTCCTCCTCCTCCTCCTCTTGCTCCTCCCTCCTCATCTTCTGCAGCGACTGCTTGTGACCCAACACCGGGGTTTGGGGGGCAGCTGCGCGCGCTGGCGGGGCCGGGAGGGATGGGCCAGTGCCGGAGCGCCGCAAGCCCGAAGGACAGGAGCCAGGCCTACGTCCCCAGCAGGTCCCCCACCGGCAGGGCCGGCAAGAGGGCCCGGTTCGGCTACTGTGTCGGCGGCGCGCCGAGGAGTGAAGCGAGAGTGGGCGGGCCCGCTCAGGGAGGCGGCGGGGCTTCTCGGAAGCCCGCCGGCCTTCGGGGAGTCCTCCGGAGAAGGGCTCCGAGAGTTTTTCCAGAATGCCAGAGGCCTTCCCGTGCCTGCTGAGAAGGCCCGCCCCCTCTGCCCTCCCCTCTGGGCGCGCCGCTACACGTAAGAGTGACCCGTCGCCAGAGCGACATTTGGTGCAAGAGGAGGAGGAGGAGGAGGAGGAGGAGGAGGAGGAGGAGGAGGAGGAGAAGAAGAGGAGGAGGCGGAGGAGGAGGCGCGGCTGCTGGGGGGCGTGGGGGGGCGGCCACACCCAAGCGCAGGCCGCCTCTGTCGCATCGCATCGCACGCAACGATCGGCAAGCCTCGCACCAAAGGCCACTCTTGCCCAGGGTCACTCCTGCGTGTAGCCGACCTGTTCGGCCGGCCATCAGCGGACGACGAGCGGTATGGCACAATGTGGCACGCTGTCGGGGGCACCTGCCCCAGGACTGCTGGAGAGTTTAGACCCCGACGTGCCACCGCAGGGAGTAGGATCTCCAGCCGTCCTGGGACTGGCGTCCCGAAGGGCGGAAAAGTATGTGTCGCGCCACTGTGCATCCGCCAAGGTCAGGGGGCAGCTTCGCCAGCCAGAAGGACCCTGCGCCAAAGACGGCACCGAAGGAAGTCTGTGAGAAGAAAGAGCTGCGAGCCCACACCTGTGATGGCACGAGGAGGTTGGGCCTCTTGACGCCCGTCAGTTGGGAGAGGTCGACAGAGGAGTTGAAGTGGAAGCCACCGGACGAACTCCAGAAGATCAAGCAGGACACTGAGGCAGAGCTTGCCGCGGCCGCTGGTCGACAGGATACGCAGGCGAGAGAGCTCGATTGGAAGCCGAGCGCCCACACGGGCACGGCAGGCGAGGCTCTTGGGCCGAGCACGACTGCGAAGTCGCCCCCGAAATCACAGGCTGCACTCGGCGGCGCTTGCCCCTCCACGACATTCGGCGGCTCAAAGATGGGGCCCTGAGGGCTGGGGCTCTGAGCATAGGAAGGGGCCCGAGGCTGGATTTACGTCATTGTCTGAGGCGTTTCGTCTTGGCCTCCCAGATGGGGTCGGAGTAGATGGTGTCGGAGGATCGTGCCGCAAAGCTGACACATGGGCGATGCGGCTCAATGTGGAGGCGATGCTCTCCACGCCGATGCATCGGTGATGCGTCGGCGATGCGGCGCAATCCTCGGACCCCACTACTCCGACCCCATCCCCTCTACAGTCGGGCACCAGAAAAGCCTGGGTGCACGAGGAGGGCTGGAGGAACAGCCATGGAAGGACCGAAGGCACGTCGTGCCCCTTCCGAACCCAAACTGTTCCTGATGTCAGCGTCTTGGCTGTACCTCGTCCTTAGGGCCCCACCCCTCAGGACCCCACCTTTGAGCCACCGAGACGTCCCCCGCCGCGCCGGCAGACGCGGCGGTGGCCGCGGGCCCGAGCAGGGCGGCGAGCCATTTGCAGGTGACCCTGGAGGACCCGCTCGCTCTTCTCGGGCCAGACGCCCTCTGCGGCGGCCGGCCATACGCAAGAGTGACCTCGTCGCCAGAGTGACCTTTGGTGCAGGCACACTCCGGCGGCGAGCGAGGGGGGCAAGCGAGAAGATGCGAGAAGGAGGAGGCCTTGTCAGAAGGCGGCGGGGCTTCTCAGAAGCCCTCCGGCCTTTTGAGAAGCTTGCTGTGTCTTCGGGGGAGGCTTAGAAAAGGCCGGAGGGCTTCCGGGCCTTCTGAGAAGGCCACCCTCTCGCACTCCCCCCCTTGGTCGACCGCCTACTCTGGTGCAGGAACACTGGGGCCCCCAGATGACCGAACGCGATGCGATAGCGGCGGCTTGCGCGCTCGGGAATGGCCTCCCCGCGGCACCCGAAGGTCGCGCACCACAGGTCACTCTCGCCCAGGGTCACTCTTGCGAATAGCCGAGGCGGGGGCACTGGGCTGGCTGGCCTGCAGTGGGACAGCACGTGGGCCGACGACCCCGCCGGACCCCGCGACGAGTACCACCGCCTCCAGGTGAGGTTGAGCACGAGGGACAAGGTGAGGAGAGAGCTGGGACTTGGGTTCTTCGGGGAGCCCGCCGCTCTGGCCAGGAGCATGCCCCCGCAGGTGAGCAGCTCGTGCTTGTTCCGCGACGTGAGCGAGGCGGCGCAAGAGGGCATCGCGCCTGCAGGGGGCTACAACCTCCTGGGCCGCTACGACGTGTGCTGCGTGAAGACCTGCGCAGACCTCGACAGGAAGTGGAGCTTCCTGAAGAGCCAGAAATTTGACTTTTGGGTTGCCCACGCTGCCGCCGTGAACATCGGCGAGTCTGTGGACGCCCCAGACTTCGGTGATTTTCAAAAGCTCGAGAGCGAGGCCATGAAGGTCCTTGACAGGTGGAAGTACATCGAGGCCATGGGGCACATCATGGACAACATCGTCAGCATCTGCACTAAGTTGCAGATCAAGCAGATGGTGTTCTTCCCGTTCGGAATGGGCGCCTTCCTCAGGCACCTCGGGCAGATCGATGCGAGCTTTCTTCAGGACGAGGAGATGCTGAAGCTGCGGCGGGCCCTGGCAGCGCGAATGGTGGAGAGCTGGGCGAGGTTGCCGCAGGGGCTCAAGGTTCGGCGACGAGCGAGGGGGGGAAGCGAGAAGGAGAAGGCCTTCTCAGAATGTTAGGAAGTCTCCCGGCCTTCTGAGGAGTTTTCTGAGCCTTCACCGAAGACAGCGAAACAACTTCTCAGAGGGCGCGAGGGCTTCTGAGAAGTCCCGCCGCCTTCTGAGGAGGCCTGCTCCTTCTCACTTCCCCCCTCGCTCGCCACCGAAAGGTTCACCTCTGTCTGCAGTTCGCCACCGACGAGGCCCAAAGGAACGCGGACGCCTTCTTGCGAGCTCTCTCGGCGAACACGGCCTCCGGCCACAGAAGCCTTCTCGTGAAGGATCGCGTCGTGGTAATCCCCGAGGGCGACGCGCTCAACGTCGCCAGCGACCTGGCCGTGAGGTCCGACGGGGTGCTGCTCGTCAACGGCGCGAACCGCCGGCTCATCCAAAGGAAGAGCAAAGCCAGCATAAGCATATCGTGCGTGCTTGGCGGTCCACGCGGGCTTCTTGGATTTACCACCCACCAAACCACGCCAACTCAACCCGAAGGCCTCCCTTTGCCCTCCATTTCCAGTGTGGGGGGGTGGGGGAACACTGAAAGAACACATGGAACCCGTACCCCCCCCCCAATCCGAAATTTCGATCAAATTCGGGTCTTCGGGTTGGGTTGGGGTGGTCTGGTAGGTAGTCATGGATCGGCGCTGGATCACCCCTCGCGGGCTGCGCCAGGCGCGCCAGGGGCGGCGCCAGAGGCGCCGCCAGGGGGGCCCAGCGCCGATGGAAGAGCTCTGCGCGGACCGTCCAACGTTTATGCTCATGCCATTGTTAGGTCGGGCATGTCCCCCCACAGGCGGATTTTGGACGAAATAAGACAGAGTCAGACAATGTTCAACACATACCCCAAACATAGTTTTTTTTTTTAATTGCCCCCCGGGCAATTGTTGGATTATTCTTCTTCTTGTTCTTCTTCTTCTTCTTCTTGAGTACTCCTCCTGTAAAGGGAGACGCCCGACTGAATGCCACTGTTTTGTCTTCCCCGACCGTCGGCAACCACTGGTTCGCCGGCAGAGCGAGGGCGGCCATGGACGAGAACCTGCACCGGAGGAGCTGGCGCCTAGCCGCCCTCTCCTACGTGCTGAACGGGCACGGTGGAGAGCAGGACACCCCGCGGCGGCACCGGGACACGCTGGCCGAGCGGGTGCGGCAGCTGGGAGGAACCGTTGCCGATCTGAACTGCTAGATTCAGGTGCAGCGATAGGGGGGGATAGGCATAGGGGGGGAGGCATCGATCCCCAATCGCCCATTGATCGCCGATAGGGGCCCGATAGCCCCACCCAGCCCAGGAACCGTCGTCGATCTGAACGGCTAGATTGTCTGCAATCGAAGAGGAAAAAGCCACATAAACATGAACTTGTGGCGCTCCGTGCGGATTTCTTGGATCCGTTTCTGGGCCCTCCGGAGGCGCCTCCGGCACCCCCCTGGCGCGCTCCGCGCGCCAGGGAGGGGTGGTCCAGCGCGAATCCAAGAAATCCGCGCGGAGCGCCAAAAGATTATGTTTATGTGTTTTGTTTCGTCTTCCATGCAAGTCAACCTGGCTGCGCTGCCGCGTGGCAGAGCACCCCGCGGCGGACCGTCGTCGATCTGAGCGGCTAGGCTGTTCACAGGACGGATCTGGCTGCGCTGCCGCGCGGCAGAGCGCCCCGCGGCGGCATCGGGACACGCTGGTCGAGCGGGTGGGGCAGCTGGGAGGAGCTGGCGTCGATCTGAGCGACCAGCCTTCTTTCAAATTAATCCGCTCGCGCTGCCGCGCGCATCCGCCACCTCGCCCTGGGGAGGGCGGGAACCGGAGGGCGTGCGGGGCGGGCCGCCCTTCCTGGCACTCTCCTCCTCCTCCTCCTCCTCCTCCTCCTCCTCCTCCTCTTCCTCCTCCTCCTCCTCCTCCTTCTCCTCATCGTTTTCCTCCTCCTCTTCCTCTTCCTCATTGTTTTCCTCATCGTCTTCCTCCTCCTCCTCCTCCTCCTCCTTGTCCCTCCTCCTGCGGCGTACGGGGCGGCCCTGTCCTTCCTGGCGCTGTGTGTTCGGGGTGGGCCGAGGGCCCACGTGCTCGGAGCAGGAGCGGAGAAGCACGGGCGCACGCCGTGCCCGCTGACTCGAGAGGGGGCCCGCTCACGCGCCAGAGCCGCAGCACCGCGCGGGGACCGATGAGGACGGCAGTCGCCAGCACCTGCACAGCTTTTTGACGCTGCCGCCGCCGCCGACGACGACGACGACGACGACGACGCCGACGCCGACGACGAGGAGACGACGACCAGTCCGATGAGGACAGCAGTCGCCAGCACGTACCTGCACAGCTTTTTGCCGACGCCGCCGCCGACGACGACGACAACGACGCCGCCGACGAGGAGACGACGACCAGTCCGATCAGGACGGCAGTCGCCAGCACATCCTTGCACAGCTTTTCGGATGTTGCCGCGTTGCCTTGGGCATCGCTCGTTTTCCGGCGGGCCCGCGCCGAGCGGCATCCGCCACGGCCCCTCGCCGCGCCAGAGTCGGCGCTGGGGCGCTGCAGTGGGCGCCCGCTCCCTGAGAGGAAGTGCTAAGCCATGGGCGTTGGCCCCGCCCGCATCTTCCGCCCCCCACTTGAGGGAAAGAGTGTGCAGCACCCCGCCCCCTTCTCCTCAATTCCAAGTTGGCACGCTCACGCACTACCGCTCGGACACTCAAGCTCGGGATATCCGAACTCAACATGGCATTCGAGGGGAGGGGGGGGAGTTCAAACCAATTGTTTCGCGTGGGTGTTGCTTGATTGTTTGCGACACCTGCCATGCCATCCTGCTCGGGGACAGCGAACCCAGACCAAACCAAGGAGGGGTGGAACTCCCGTTTCCGCGCCATCTTTTCTCAGGGGCAGTGTTAGGGGGAGGATTAGCCTCAGAGGAAGACGAATCGACCACCAATCGCCAATACATCGACGATAGGGTCCCGATAGAAAGCCCCAGCCTTCCCAGGAACGTTCGAAATTCGCTATCGCGGGCCTATCGCCAGTCTATCGGCGATGTGTCGCCGATTCCAGACAGATTTTCCCCCCCCTTGGGCTGGTCTCCCCCCTACGGTCGGGCCGAGGTACAAGATCGAGGTCGGCTCGGAGAGGGTACCCTAATGTTCTTCGTGCTTGCTGGATGTTCCTGTGCATCCTAGGGGAGGGCACCCTCGAGAGGTCTTCAGTTTGGGCCGGCTGAGGGTCTCATGCTTTTGAAGGATGTTCCTCTGTCGTAGGTCTGGCTGTCATTATCGTTCCCTCTTATTGTCGGGGACAGGGGACCCAGACCAGACCAAGGAGGGGTGGAGCTTCCCCGGGGCTGGTCCGGGATGTTGCACCCCCTCCTCGGGGAAGAGCCCTAGCGGCCAGCCAGACATGATCCGCCCCTCCTCAGTCTCAGGCGATCGCAAGCATGGATTAAGGGGGCGTGGAATAGCGACGGGTCCCGCTTCCGCGGGAAATCGCGGATGTCCGCCGCCGAGCGAGGCGGCACCGGCCGCATTTTGGGGAGGGCGCCTCCCCCGATCCATGACTTGGCGACCGCGCGCCAAATCCATGGATCTCAGGAGGGGAAGAAACACACAGACACAATTAATCGTCGATTCCCAGGAAAAGATGCGAAAATATGGGAAGTGGTGGGGAGGACAATATGGAAAAATATGGGGAATAGTTTTATTTGTGTGTATTTATTTGTGTGTCCCAGGGCCCCTTTAGGATCGCGAATCCATGTTTGCGCTCCCCCGACGGTCTGGCCCGGGTCCCCCTCCGCCTCGAGCCCCACGGGCGCCAGGCGCTCGCCCTCGCGGCTCCTGGCGCCAGGGCGCGCCGCGCGCGTGCCCCCCTCGTGGGGGAGCAGCGAACGCCCCCAGAGGGGCCCCCTCCTCCTCCTCCTCGCTCCTCCTCCTCCTCGCTCCTCCTCCTCCTCCTCCTCCTCCTCCTCCTCCTCCTCCTCCTCCCCTCCTCCTCCTCCTCCTCCTCCTCCTCCTCCTCTCCCCGAGGCCCGAGGGTCCGACGATCCCCCCTGGCTCGGGCCGGACGACAGGGGGGGATGACTGGGAAAGGGGGGGTGGTACGAAGTCTGCTGCGTGCAGCTGGTTTCGACCCCGCCGAGGGGCCCATTCTTCGGTACATGGCCGCCTCCAGCGCTGGGAGGCGCCGGGAAAAAATCAGCGACGTGAGCTGATTCTCCCCCCCCCCCCTTTGCTATCCCCCCCTTTCGCCTGGCCCGACTGGCGGAGAGGGGCCGCGAGGCGGGCCCAGGATCGGGCTGCGGTCGACCCGCACAGTCTGATCATTTTTTCTTCGGGTGGAGGGCAAAGGGTGAAATCTGAAATGCCGTCTCGATGGATTTCCGAGGCTTGATCTGCAAAAGGCGAGCAACATAACGGATCCATTTTCGGGGTGCAAAAACCCATATGGAATTCACCCTGAGCCATCCACCCGAAGAAAGTTATCATATAGTAAGATGAGCAACTTTCCAAGGTTGGTTACCCTCGCATCCTTCCTCTTCGGCCACTCCTTGGCCGCTTGCGCTGGCCGCGCCCCACTCGCAAAGTGTTGGCATGGCCTTCCAAGGCCCTTTCACCCTTCTCGTGTGTCCGTGAGATACGGGTTGAATGTAACTTGTTCCGAAGCCTTCTGGAACGCAAGCGAGCTGTGGGCACGAGAGCAGAACAGCAGCCAGGCACATGGGTCCGGAAGCGTGGCGGCGAGCGACATGCCAGATCCAGCGGCACAAGAGAGAATACAGACAAGACGTTGAAATAAGGAACAGGGTGGTCTCACGTTTCGGAAACGGCCGATCGTTCCCCGAGATGGCCGTCGGGATGGCTTGCCCTTCAGGATGGTGCCCGTCAGGATGGTGCCCGAGAAGGGTCTGGGGCCGGCTGTTGGCGCACTCGCCACGGGAGGGCGAGAGGGACTGGTGGCAGAAAGGGGGGGGGCAGGAGAGGGGGGGGGAGAGTCGGTCGGTGCTGAACGATCTGACTTTCAAGGTTGAACGACCCCCGCGGTGTCGAGAGCCGGCGCCGAGGTCGGCGCGGCACGGCCCTGCAGACATACCCTGGTCCGGTGTTGTCCGGTTCTGCCCTCGTCGTGTGCGTGGAGGCGGGGGTGCCGGGGAGGCGGCGCGGGGGTGCCAGTGAGGAGGGGGGAAAGAAGGACGTACACGTACAGTTACCCTGAAATGAGGAACAGTTTGGGGTCGGAAGGGGCTCGATGTTGCTTAGGTTCCTCCAGTGCTGTTCCTCTTGCCCTCCTGGGGCACGGAGGCGCTTACAGGGCCAAGAAGGGGCTTCGTTCCTTATGTAGCGTTCCTTCTTTCAGCGGCCCGACTGTACATGAATCCACGCTGGTTTCGAGAATTCGCACTGCGCGAATGTTCGTATCACGCGGCAGATCTCGCGGGTCAAGGGGCCGTGTTCATGTACACAGCTGGGTGAGTTACGTCTTGTGTGGGCCCCCTATGTGAGGAGGGGGGAGGAGTCGCTCCCTTGTGGCTCCAGCGCCTCGCCCTTCCCCGCCCCCGCCCCTCGGGGGCAGCATCAGGCAGGGATGGGCTCAGAAGGGGTGGGTGGGACGCATCGACCCCCAGACGCCCCCTCATCGCCGATCGGGGGCGGGGAGCCCCCAACCTTCCCAGGATCGCGCGGCTTCGCGATCGGGGGCCTCATTCCCGATCTATCAGCGCTGTATCGCCGACTCAAGCTCGACGTTCCCCCTCCCCTTGAGCTGGTCTCCTCTGAATCGTTCCCCCTCAGCCCCGCTCGTTCCCGCTCCCCGCTCCTTTCCCTTTCGTTCCCGTTCTCCGCTCTCCGTCCCCCCTTCGCTCCTTTCGCTCCCGCCCTCCGCTCCTTGCCCCCCCGCTCCCCGCTCGCGCCTCCGCCCCCGCTCCCGCGCGCCGAGTCCCGTGCCCGGCCCCCGCTCGTCGTCGCCTTCCCTGGCGGAAGTTCCGGCGATGCGGGAGGGCGGCTCTGCTGTCAACGGCACCGCAACGGGTACTTACTAACGGGTACTTTGAATTGTTGCCGAAAGTTGCCACTTTAGGGCCTTTTTCTTGCATTGCAGCTTTGCCCACATCGGGAAGGGTTGGGTTCGCTGGGTCACTGGCCAAAGTACCCGTTAGTGGAGTCCCCGTTTGAGGGGCGCTGATGCTGGCCGAGGCTCGGAGGAGGGCATCGGCGGCGGGAGTGAAGAGGCAG